ATAGTCTGTGTGTATGTGTTGTGTGTCTGAAGAGTGAAGTCTGTTATACCTCTCATATACTCATACTTTGCGTGAGTTTGTGATAACCGTAACCGTAAGACATGTCCCCATCACTGGTCGGTGTGACTGATTTGGCATCAGTTCTGTTACAATGTTTTGTCCTAATACTGATGGGCTATATATCGGGTCGTTTAGAGCTGATGCCAGTGTCGGACACAGGTTTGGGCACATTTGTCACGTACTATGCATTGCCGGCCCTTATCTTCGAGTCGATCGCTACCTCAGACTTATCACACATTGATTGGCAATTTGTGGTCAGTCTTCTCATATCCAAGACTATACTATTTGTGTCAGTGATTATAATAACAGCAATTCTGACGAAACCCACAAATGTAGGCAAATCAGGCCTTTTTGCCATATTTTGCACTCAAAGCAATGACTTTGCTTTGGGTTATCCACTATTGCTCTCACTTTACGGCAAATCTAATCCACAATATCCGGGATATCTGTATGTCTTAGCGCCGATTCAATTGGTTGTATTGAATCCTTTGGGTCTTATGTTAATAGAAGCGGACAAACAGTGCCGAAGACAACGATTACAACTCAATAACGTTTCCGTCATTTTGTTTAAAGTATTGAAACAAATACTTAAGAATCCGATTATAATAATGACTGTTTTGGGTATCGTTTGGAACCTATTATGTGGTAATCAAATGCCACAACTCCTCACACCTCTCCTCCAAGTCTTGTCCAACTCTTTCTCCGCGACCGCACTCTTCCTCTTGGGCTCACAATTGGTGGGAAAACTCAAAATATTCACCTCTTCTTCGCATATAGTGTTGATATCATTGGTATTAGTGATGACAAAGATTCTGATTCTTCCGCTTCTGAATCGAGTAGTCATTCAGAATGTAATGGACTCTCAAAACAACCAGACATTAGATTTAACCAATTTTGGCTTTCTTTACGGCACTTTCCCATCAGCGCCGACGGCATTCATATTCGCCCTCCAATACGACTCCGGCATTCCCTCAACAATACTGTCCACCGGAATGGTTATGTCGACCGTATTGTCGGCACCCCTTATGTTTGTTTCGGCAAACATGATAAGAATGTCGGCCAATGAAACGCTTCCGTGCCCTGAATTTGCCAATGATTTGGGACAAACCATGTCTTATTCCGGTCTAATGTCTGTCGTATGTGTTTTGTGGACATTAATTGTATTGCTTTGTGGCCACAAATGGCGATCTCTGACCCATAGATGCACTATTGCTTTAGCTCTTTCACAGCTTATGGTTGGCATTGGAGGCTATTTATGGCAATATAATGATAGCGTGGCCTCATTTGATCGATACCTCTTATATCATATGCAATATGTGTTATCTGTTGGAGGGATACTGTCATCGAGAATATGGACCGCAATGTTGTCCATCACTTTAGCACTACTTTATTGGAAAAATCTCTGTTATGTCATTAAGATTCACAAAAAGATGTCATATTTTGTTGCATTTATTGTATTTATTTTGTTATTAATGGTTATATATCTGCCAAACAATTCAAACAAAGATATAATTGATCCCAACTTTGAATTTGGTTCAACACAAGCCTATGTTGCAGTTGTACTACTCATTTGCTGTCTAATTATAACAATCGTTGGACTTATAACTCAACAGCATTTTAAGAGTCGATTGACATTTAATCGCTCACTAAATATAAACAGTGAAGACATTGAATCTGATTCTCAAGAAGAAGAGCTAATCCATGAATCCGAACATTTGATGTACACTCCAACCATCCGAAGAGGAAGAATACGAACCTTTTCCAATCCAATCACTGCTTCCCATCAAACGCATGACGAGAATGCGGTGATTGAAGTGGAAGATCTTTTGGCGTCTGCGGCACCCGTTTCTAGAGATCTTTGCCAACAATCCAATTGTTCCCAAACCAGAAGAAAGAGTTGTATAACACATGTTCGCAGATATCGTCAACGTATGGAAGAGGCCAACGAAATGACACCTCTTATACCGACTGATGACCATTTGATTGAATGTGTTTCAGATTTCCATCAACTTTCACAGCATATGTTTCTTTTGCTAACACTTTTGCCCTCAATGTTAATCGGATTAACAGTTTCTGTGGGCAAACTAGTGATGGAGAGACCGACCGGAATATTCATAGAATTGGAATTTCTGGATATATTACTGAATTACGGTCAGGGAGTCATCACTTTTCTCATCTTTGGTCTCGATATGACTCCTGTTGTCTATAAATTGCGAAAACTGTATTTCGGCGGTTCGGACACAAACACACATTGCGTGGATTTGCCTCCATTGGAGGCCATTAGCCCCGTAACCAAAGAAGTGTGCGAACAATTCAATACATTTCATAAATACAATTGCATTAAAGATATTGTCTTTGAACACAAAGTCAATCAAATCAGTTATCGTGTGTTTCGTGGGAAAGATTTCGTCGATTGGTTGATAAGGTCTGGAATTTCCAGCAAAAGAATAGACGCCGAGACTTATGGCAAGCATTTATTGACTGGTCGTGTGATAAGACATCTCAACAGTTGTCAGCATTTCTATGACAAAACATTTCTCTATAGATTTAATTAATTTTGTAAATTCTAGTATTTTTTGACAAATTCCTCAATTGTTTGAATGCTTTATTGTGTGATATTTTATTTAGTCATAAGAATGTTGTTATGAATAAACTAATTACTTGAATAAAAATTCTTAAATATTTAATTTATGATTAATTTATTGATTAGATTTTAGAAACGGTTTGTGAGAAACAAAAGTTGGATCCAACAGAATATGAGTTATTGTAAGTTATTTAGCATTTAATGAAATATTTTGCGAAACCATTGAATGAGATTTAATTGTTTATGAAATAAAAGGCGAAACAACAAACCGATTGATTTGAGTTTAACCATACGTTTTGCAAACATTCCCAATAACGGACAGTTAGACCTAAGACAGGCCACTACTAAGCGATGCGATGAAAAAGTAACGATTGCTATTGATTTGGAAACCGGTGAACGAAAAGTACATGATTTTGAAACAAATCACAACTTATGGGATATAATACACCAGATCTTCGCAGGCAATCCTATATTGAATTTTGATCAAAACATGGAATTATGTGTCATTTATATCGGAAAAGAGGTTTTAATTAAGAAACTAGTATTTTATTTAGTAATATCTTATAAATTAATCTTTAAATGTATAGATTTGTGGAGAACAGCAGTTAAAGCAAACAAACTTAAAGAGTTTAGGTCTGCTTCGGGGCAGAGTTGTCATGAGATTAGTGGTCAGAGCCGTCAATTCAACCAAAACACAAGCTTTTGTTGAAGCACTTGTATTACCTAAACCACAGAGTTTACCCAAAAACGTAAACACAAACCAAACTGAAGAGAAAGTAACACAAAAAGCACAACAACCTCCACCAGAATCACACCCACAACCGCCGCCACCACTACAACTACAATCACAACCCCAGCCATCAGAACCACAAACATCTAATTATCAACAAATGGATGTTAAGCAAGAAGTGCCTCAAAATAATAATACGACAATTAATGAAGTGAAACACATTGAAGAGGATAAATGTGAAGATATGGAAGTCGAGTCTGATTTGGACGAAAGTTCTGAAGCCATCAATTATGTGAATATTATTTTGTATTTACAGTTAAATGAGTTTTACAAATAAATTTCTAATCGATTAGTTGGGAGACAATAATAGCGGCATTTTATTTAAAATGTCTGATTTGCCAAAAGTGTCTAAAATTGAATTTCCCGATGATTTCTACGTAACAACAAAAGATGATTTGGTATCAGTTCTCAAAGGCCTTCGACAACAACAGTGAGTATAATATTATTATAGTTACAAATAATTGATTGCTTTCATTATATTATATCGACATTTGTTTAGAATCGGAGAAAACGAGAATATGTTAGAAACCAAACGAATGAAAGAACAGAAGAAATTGGCTGAAAGGCAAAGATAT